CCGCTGCTGGTCAGTTTCAGCAGCAGCTGAATCAGGACGCCTGGGACAGAGCAGATGGGGTACTGCTGGGTTGGTCCAGTAGCACCCAGGAGCGGCGCTACTGGAGCAACCCAGCAGCACCCCAGCTGCTCTGCCCCAGGAGTCCCCAAGTCAGCTTCTGCTGAAACTGACCAGCGCTAACTACAGGAAGCCCGAGGCAGAGTTGCTCTGCCCCGGGCTTCCTGGAATCAGCTGCTGATCAGTTTCAGCAGCAGCTGACTTGGGGACGCCTGGGGTTCTTAAGTTGATTCTGTATGTAAGTCAGAACAGGCGGTCAGTTTCAGCAGCGGCTGAATCTAGACGCCAGTTCCGACTTACATACAGATTCAACTTAAGAACAAACCTACAGTCCCTATCTTGTATGTAACCCAGGGACTGCCTGTATAATAAATGGCCACCATCAGCCATACTTTATATTATCTTGAGGTGAAATCCAATATTAGCAACATTACCCTGAGCTAGACTTGTCACAGAAAACTGGTTGATGAAAGGTTCTGTATCTTGTTCACAATCCCAGGAATGAACCCATTTGCCTTGCCTATGGGTAAAATGTCAAAACTTCATAATGTTTATAATGACAAACTATTCCCATAAGGCACAGAATTGCCTTTATACTTTTATACTGCTCAATTTCTTCTTAAACTGGAAACAGTCTACCTTACGAGATTCATTGATTCTATACAGTATTGTGTTTTTGGATCTCTTCACTCTTCCATTGTTAACTTTGATACCCGTAGAAATGTCAGTCTATTAATATGGAGCCTTAAAGGATATATTCCATTTTTCTGTAAATACAACAATAGTTAGCATTGTGGTATTTTTGTTAAAGTTGCAATAATACTTCTTTGAATGTTTTAACTGTGATAAAAGATAAAGACATCACAGTAGACAAGTACTTCGACAATATCTGGATACTACCACTGAAGTCAATGAGAGCAAAAGCTGCTAGGGCTTGTTAGGATCAGGTCCTGGATTAATAGTTGGGTATGTAGCTATACTCAACTACACAAAGTATTCCTAACCTGTTCTCTTGGTCTTCCTCATTCTAGCCCCAGCATCTCAAAACACTGACACCTGTCTTTTAAAAAAGCTTAATGCCCTAAATCAGTGTTTCTCAACCTTTTTTTTTTATAAAGTACCCCTTTAAAAAATTATAAGTACCCCCAGTACCTACAGTTTTCAAACACACAATATTTTTTTCTACCATTACAATACATTTGTTTAAACCAACTTAATCGTAGCTAGACAGGTTATGAAATTTTTGGGTGTAAAAACTCCAAAAATAATAAAATGCTGTAAAACTTAACACAAAAATCCAGTTTTCTCCAAATTGCAGTTGTGTTGACGTACCCCTCAGACTTCTCTTGAGTATCCTTAAGGGTACCTGTACCACTTGTTGAGAAATAATGCCCTAAATGATGCAGTGAGCTTTATCAACAGAATGCAGCACAGGTTTATGCAGACTGCAGTTCAGCCTTGATGACTGAAAATGTTTTATGGATATCAGAATCATTCAGATAAATAAAATATCATGGTACTTCATATAGTTGCTTTGTGGAATTCATAACATTTTCCTATTAACAGAAGCAACACGGTATATATGGTGCATAAAGTATGGTGGCTTTCACTAAACAAAAATGATATTGACACAAATTGAAAAGAAAGTTTCACAGGTATAATGGTCCCTATTAACTGAGATTAACACGGTGACTTACATACAAAGCCGCAGTATATAGTAATTATTTCTCCGCAACAACAGTATTAAGTTAATAAGTTAACAATGACTTTCTCATTCAGTGGTTTAGTTTATTTTGTAACCATGAGAGCCAGCAATTTTATTTAAAAAATATCTTTTGAGTATTTTACAAGCTCATTTTGGTATTCCATAATTTAATTTTAAAAGAGCTACATAGACTGATTATCATTATCTTTGATGCAATCTATATGCTTTTAGAAAGACTTTGCTCTGTCATGTGTCCTCGGTCCCATGATGACTTCCTTTATTTTACATATATACCCTATTAAACATTAATTCGAGGGGAGAAAATCCAGATCAGAAAATAATTAAAGATCAAGAACAGTCTAAAAGAGATTTTAGTTATAGACATACACTGCACCAAATGATATTAGCCACTAAATAATAGAACAAAGAGGAAGATTTACAGAACTAGACCTATCAGTTTTCACCCAGCTCTAGTCCTGACACACAGTAAGCACCCTTTGTTAACCGCTACACCACATTCCCATGGTTTCTTTATCATCATACACCAAACCATCACACCAGTAGAATGGTTGCTAGAAGAACTCTTAGCTAAGCCACAAGCCCTGATTTGCATTTGCATTGCAGGTCCATCCAAAATTAAAAACAAAAATTCCCAGGACAAAGAGTTTTAATAATAAAGTGCCCTTTAAAATATAAAGGCTGTGCCTAAGAGAGGTGTATTACATCAACAATGCAAGGTCATACCTGTTTTTCAATGAATGCATTCATCCTTTGTAGCATCCCCTCACATGTAAATTCATAGGGCAAATAAGGTTCAATCTGTTGAAACAGGACAATGTGTTTAAATTCGAATTTTTAAGGGATGATTTTACTGGAAGTGTCCCTGGGGTTAATGTTATGTTGGTGCCTGTGTACTGTTTAATACATTATAGCTTTTGGAGCAAACAAGTGTAAATATAATCATTAACAAATCACTGGTTTGTGCTGTCCTCACTTTCAACTGATTTTTGCTCAAAGGCAATTCTAAAATTGCTCACTGATTGTCTTTGAGGGGATGTTAAATGAGGGAGATTAAGTGTTTACTCAACAGAAACTTATCACAAGATTACTGATCTCATAGTTACCCGTTGTAATTCAGTTTAATTTCCAAATTTAAATAGTACAAAGGGAAATATGATGCTCCTATAATTGGATGCTCTTTGAAGATGTTTTCAGACTGTCTTCTGATTTTTTCAATCCTTACATTAAAAGCTTACTGCAGAAATGGCTTCATAGCTTTTGTGTAATTGCTAATTAATGGGTTCAACTGAGTAAAGTATAGGCCAACTGATTTACTAACATGCACAGAAAACTTACAAAGACTCAACAACAAATCTAGGAACTGGGATTTGGAGTCGCTTGCTAATGCTCCAATCCTTTATGCTAATACACATGCTTAGTTTTATTCATGTGATTCAAGATAAGCGGGTGTGTCAGCATGTGCAGGGTCTAACACTAAATTATGATACTCAGACACCAAAGTGATAGGTGTGGCATAGGACCTCAAAAGGACCTTCCAGATTGCTTAGTTCTATTAATGAAATTAACATTTGATATTAATGTAACAGCAGTAGCTCAGACACCACGTATTGATTACAGAAAATAAATTTTAACCTTTTGATTCAAAATTGCTTTCACTGCATTCTCAACCTCAGAAGGATCATTGATATTCACAGTCCAGACATGAGGCTTTCCAACGTAAACCTCAGCATAGGGATGCTGAGATGTCAACTGAAAGAGAAAAATTAATATACTGGTAAAAATCAAGAATCAAGATACCACAGTCGCCCCCATCACTTGCTTTGAGTGTCAGGGCATAATATACATAGATAATGCAATTACAGAGTTGAAATATAAAGACTGCTTAATTCCTTTTACCTGCTTCTGGTTTCCTATATTTTTCTTGTTACATCCTGTAGGTGAACTTAGTGTACATGATAAGCATAGAGATTACCCATAATTTATCCACACAACAGGTACAGCATAGAAATAGCAGTGGAATGGTTTTTATCCTGCCTTATGTATCATCCTCTTCCATTTTTTTCTCTATAATCTGCACTCTGGGAAATTTCATCTACCTCTATATGATCCACTAACACATTTAGATGAACTACTCCTACATCTCCTTTTCTATCCCAAGCCTTCCATGTGCTATCCATTCCTGCATCTTTTGAAAAATGTCCACCCCTTTGCAATGCAATATCAGTAAAGAAAGCCCTTGCCCATGGTGAAATGCATGAATACTGGGGGCGGTGGGTGTTCCAGACACAAAACAACCACGTTTTCCATATAAAATGATGTAAAGATGCACTATATTAATATTTACATCTAATAATGCAATAAACACGTGTAATATCTAAAATTTTCTGGTATGGGATCATTACTGCTTCAATTTCCTTTTCAACTTTCAGGTTCCATTACGAGAGCGCATTGAAAAGCGTCATCCCTCTGCGTCATGTACTTGGGCTGATGCGGTGCAAAACCACCAATGGCGAGGGCTTCCTGTCCACGCAAACTCTCTCGTCTTCCTCTTTTTCTCATGTAAGCGAGAGAAATGTCTGATTATTACTGGTTGGACCTTTTTGATCCAGCACCCTCGGGACCTGACTGGTCTTGGACAAAGAGATTTGCTGAACCAGGGGAAGTTTCTCCCCTAAGGACCACGCTAAATTGCTGCTCCACAGCCCTGCTGCCTGCGTGGCTGCTGCCTGACCAGCCGTTACTCCACATCTCCCACTGGCTTCACTGTCGCCAGGGTCGGAGCTGCACAGCTGGGGCTGCAGCTAGGGTCAGAGCTCCCTGGCTCTAGCCAGCGCTGGAGCTGCTCAGCTGTTGCTGGCCCCCTGCTACTGCCCAGTTGCTGGGGTCAGATCTCCACACTGTGCCTCCCACCATAAGCTCCTGGATGAGTCCCCACCAGTGTTCCCTCGTAACTACGCAGCAACGCAGTTTCACAGGTGATTAATCAGCCCCGCCCAGTCAGAGTCTCAGGGCTCCCTGCACAGAGCTGACTGACTGGGTGGGGCTGAGGAATCACCCGTGAAGCTGGTCCCTGTTTTGCCCCAGGCACGCTTCTGCTTCCTAGCCAGACTTCCCTATACCTGGACTCTGTGGGCCAGGAACATCTATCGTCCTGCCAGACCAGGGATGAGGCCGAATCAGAGAGTCTCAGTTAAGGGAGATACAACCTGAACTGTGCACATTCGACTCTGAATTTCTATTGTCAGACTGCTAGCAAGGTTACCGATTAGTGCATACAATATGGAAGATACTATTGCCATGCATCCTCTGGGAGCTGGACTCATTTTACAACCACCCTCTTTAGAAAGGGTGAAATCTCTTAGTCTGTATGGATGCAGGTAGGTATTTTGTCCCCCAATTGGTGGTTGAATCATTATCTTTATTCCTTTGAAATCGTGTATCTGGTATTGTATTATGTGTGTTTTACCTTTGCTGCTTGGTATTTAATAACCAGTTTACAGCCTCATTTGATTTACCTTTGTCTATTCAGATAAGCAGCAATACAAAATTGAATAGGGAAACACAGTCACATAATATTCATCAAAAATTAAAAACATTTTCTCCAGATCATTACATCTGCTAGCCTTGGGCAGGTCTAAAACCCTGAGCTGGAAACGAAAGCCTCTACATTCTATTAAGTGCTCCCCATGTTATCCAATTCTCCAAGTTCAAAAGTTCTGAACTCGTACACAGATGGCACAATTAAATACGACTCTGATCACTCAGAACAAAATCCTGACTCTCCTGAAAATGAGACCGCATGTCATCTCCTGTGTGTATTTTAGAACCTAATTAGTATCTTGTTCACTGCTTGGTAGAAAACAATTAAAATAAATTTTAAAAACTATCAACCAGTCCAAACCAGAACAAATAATTCAGTCAGCATCAATTAGACCATGGCCAGAACTGTCAGCTTGGTACTGAAAGAGACTGCAATGGCATCAAGGTTCCACAGAAGTCAAGAGATGTGGAAGGGTGTCACATTACTGTATTTTAATGTGAGCAGGCAGATCATTGCTGCATCCATTAGTGTGTGTTTACCCCAAATTCAGTGAAAAGTAGGCCATGTGAGATGGCAACTGAAAGCTTATGCTATGCAGATTACATTTTCTATCTATATCAGCTGTTTCCTAATGCACCATGCTTCCCTCATCATCTTTTCAGTTCCTGAAAGCCCATTTCCTATATCAGATCTGCATATGTAAGCTGAACTCAGTATCACACTACTAACACTACTGTTTAAAAGTGATATATTTTTAAAATCTCAGGTTATCAAAATCTCCTGGGTTTCCAGGGCATTCACATCTGAATTTTTGATTACATAAGCTTCTTGGGGCAGGACATATGCCTTTAGCATTAAGTTGTGTTAAAGCATAACGTTAGCACTTAAGAAATAACCTTTACATGTTTCAAAACGTGACTTTTTTTCAAGTAAGTAAATATAATGATTAACAGAGTTTCAGGATTATAACAAGAGATCATCGATTCTTTGTATACCTCAGACTGGCAGATAGTGCAATTAGGGTTGCCAGATGGTTGAACCAAAAATACTGAATGCCCCCCTCCCCTTCCCCCCAAAAAAACCACCAGGGAAAAAATTCAGTTGAAAAAAAAAGGGGGGGTAGGGAGACCAAAGTTGTTGAGCAAAATAAATTAAACAAACAAACAAATAAATAAATAAATAAATACAAATTAAATAATAAAACAGCATTAAAACACCATGGCCCCTTTCAGAGTGAGTGCAGAGTTAGAATAGGGATAGGAACAGGGGAGCGGCTCCCCTTGGTCTTTAGGCTTTTTGCCGGTGGCCATTTTGTGTTCTTGTTCAAGCCAGAACTTAGCTTTCCTGCGGAACCAGGTAAGCATGGAGTCCAGGGGTGAGACGGGGAGAGGGAGGCTGGGCCCAGGTGCTAGGGTTGCCAGGTGTCCGGTATTTTCACCTCCTGGCTGGGAAAAAAAAATCTGAAAATACCAGACATTTTAGATGTCCGATATTTTCTGATTTTTCTTTTTTACCGGACAGGAGGCGAAAATACCGGACTGTCCAGGTCAATACCGGACACCTGGCAACCCTAAGTGCAATTAGCCAGGTCTGGTTTTGAAAACTGTATACCAATAGTGAATCTCCTCAAGCTAGTAGTGTTTAAGCACAGGGGCAACCAGCAATGTTTCACTGTCTTCCAGCTCTTGCGAGGATGTGTTCTGCAGAAATTTTAATAAACTGTCCTGCTGCTGAAATATTGTGACTGACAAGCTCACAGTCAGTCATTCTTGTGGTTCTTCCGTAGTAAGAACCCAGTAATTTTTCCCCTGTAAGAGATGTTAAACACAAAGCTTCCATTTGAAATGTTTTGGGTAGAAAAGTTTTCCCATGGGAAATGTTGAGTCAACATGTTAATTTCATTTAAACATAAAAGTTGCTTTTTCCACTTTCTGGATTTCAGAAAACAAACAAATAAAAAAACTCTTGTTTTTAATTGACATTTCTTTCCAAAATGTCTTTTCAGTTTTTTTAAACAAATGAAGCAAACATTTTAAACCAAAACAAAATGTCCATTCAAAAAAAAAAAAAAAAAAACACAACACATTTTCATCTCAAATTTTCCTACAGAAAAACTGACATTTCTCAACATCAAAATCAGTTCAGACAAAATTATTTTTTGGCAGCAAAATTTTCCTCATTTTTTTTTTACCTCTTCTACCTACATGAAGAGAAAAAACACAGTAACTGAAGTGTCATGATTCCCACCACCTTACCTAAAGCCAATGAGTAAGAAAAGGGATTAGAGTTCAGATGTACTTGACTCCCATTTGTGTGTTTTGACCACTCAATTAGTCACTACTGTTTCAAGAGTAGATAAATGGAGTAAAAAGCACCATCAGGATCCATACTGATAGTGTAGTACACAAGTCAAAGTAGTAAAAAAGAAACATCACTAGAAATTTGAACACCATACATAGAGCAATGCAATTTTTTAATTGCTGTAGCAGGCTGGCAGTATTTGGATAACAGAGCATGGCACTTCAACTAGTGTTGATTCTTCCAGTAAAGGGTTAAGTGAGTGATGATAATTTACTGGGAAGCTGACTGGTTATTGCTCTTGGACACAGAAGATCTAGAAGTGGCTTTTTGGAGAGGGAGATCCAAAAAGATTGAGCAGTCGTGAGCAGAAAAACTACAAGAAAGCAAAGCTGGGAAAAAGGGTGTTTTTAAATTGCCACTTCCTCTACTTACTTACTCATTTCTTTGTTAAGTAAGTCAAACTGTAGGAAAGAAGTGAATTTGAACTACTATACCCATTTTGTTTGTAGAGCAGATTGAGAACCTTGCTCACACCTCCTGGCACAGGAAACCTATATTACTTAATTAAAGTGAAAAACAGTAGAAATCCAGCATACCAATTTGCATGAGTTTAATGTGCAATTCATCTAGCTGAAATATTTGTGAGAAAAGCAAAGCTATTATGCAAGCTGTTTCTTATCTACATATTCTATTTTACATGAGATATCTGCATTTCATTAACAACAAACACAGTACTTATTCAAAACAAGTCAAGGTTGCAATAGTGTGTTTTAACCAATGTTAGTACAAGAAAAAAAATGGTTAGATAAATGCTAAATGTATTCAGTGTTTTATATATCTAACTTTACCTATACACAGATATGCCACATTTCCTGTATAAAACATGAAAAAGAATCTTGAGGAAAATCCTTGCATGGAAGGGCAGTTTGGTTTTCTCCTTTTCCTTTCAGACTACAAAATATTCTGGATACTTTGCAGGCTTGTTTTTTTTTCCTGTTTATTCTTCAAAAATTAGTTTGGCTCTCCAGATGTCTTTACGTTTAAATACATATAGTTCATTGCTAGTGTTACTATGAGGGCTAACCAGAGTCTTAATCAAAATCTCTCCACAAAAATCATAATTAAAACATTCATATTTGTTTGAAAAAGGATGCCCTTTTATTCCCCAGTGATGCTCATTTCCTAACAAGAATATCAACTGAGGTTTCCCCAGATAGAAAGTCAGATCTTGAAGTGAAACTTAGAAATGGTATGTCAAAAAGAATTAGAATGTAGACATACATAGATGCATAGTTATAGCTTTGAAGTACTTTGTGAGTTTCATTACTTATTATTTTATTATCATAGTGCCCATTTACAATTGTGGTCTTACAGGGGACTAATTATACCAATTCAAGCCACTGCCTTGTTAAGTCAAAAGGACAAACTGTTCTATGGAGTAAATTATGCACCTTAGTTTCATATTCTATTTTTTATTTATGAGAAATAAAGCAATTATTTGCAATAAAACTTTGGTTGCTGTACAGTCCTCAAACAAAAAAGTGTAAAGCAAACAGTATCAGCAACTGAGGTATATGACAGCCCCAATACTTTGCAATGTTATCAAGCTTACCTCTCTAAGTGTTGGCTTGCCTTTGAAGAAGTCAGTATTTTTGCTGCTTTTTGATGGGTTAAATTTTGGATTTAGAAAAGCACATCCATTAGCAATAGCCTCTAGAGGAGCAGGCCCTTCATATGGAAATCCAAGTCCAACAAACAACTGCAAAAATACAAAATATACATTATATAGCACCCATTAACTTTGTTTTCCTGCAGACAATAAAATTTTAGTTTACCAGATTTGAAGAATGATACGGAATTTAAATTTTCAAGTCTACAAAACAGGTTCACATAATAGTTTTGAAAGGACTTGGGTGATGTTCTATTAGTTGACAGAATTTTTAAATAAAGTTATCTAGAAGCTTGATGCTAATTGGTGCTAAGGATCTGGCTATTTTCTTTCCCTCTCTGTGATTTAAAAAGAGTAATCCTTCTGTAATGGGCTGGAAAGAAAATGACAATCTTCTCTAAATTAAATAGAAGGTTTTTTTCATCATGAAAGGGATGGAACAAGTGTGCCTTTCAGTTACATTTTGGGAAAAAAGACGTTTGCTGGTTTGATTTCAGTTCAAACAAAACTGGTAAAGTTCTCCATTAGACCAACAGTACATGTTTTACGATAGTTACATCACTGAATAGTTACGCAACTTTATTCCCCCCCCAACTTGATAGTTTTTGCCAATATACAAATACTCAGGCCAAAGTGAACAAACATGATTAAAAAACAGCAGATGGCAGCAAACTTCAGAGCACAGCAGGGACAAGCCCAACAGCTCTATTCCTCCGTTCTAAACTTGAAGTGGAAAAAGGCATCAGTGCTTACTTTTACTGCCAGCTTACAGGACATGTTATAATAAACAGTTATTGGACAACAAGAAGTGTAACTGAAAAATATTTAACATTTGGTGTCTCAGAATTCACACGTAACAGGTCTTTAGAAGCAATCTCTTTCCTGGCCCTGACAACTGAAAAAATTGAATTAAACAATGTGCCTTTTTATTTTCTTTAATTTAAAGTTAGCATACAATGGGTAGAGCAATGATAGCTACAGCTGCGACAAATCTCTGAAAACACCGTTGAAAAATTCTATGCATATGCTAGTCTCAGCTATGGCCTCCTAGATAGATCTAAGCCTCATGGCTATTAGAATTATGCATTATGGGCATGACATCTCTCTAGGGGTATGTCTACACTACCCCGCTAGTTCAAACTAGGAGGGTAATGTAGGCATACCGCACTTGCAAATGAAGCCCGGGATTTGAATTTCCCGGGCTTGATTTGCATAAACTGGGCATCGCCATTTTTAAATCCCTGCTCGTTCGAACCCCGTGCCGCGCGGCTACACGCGGCACGAACTAGGTAGTTCGGACTAGGAAGCCTAGGACTAGGAAATTCAAATCCTGGGCTTCATTTGCAAGTGCGGTATGCCTACATTACCCTCCTAGTTTGAACTAGCGGGGTAGTGTAGACATACCCCTAGAGAGATGTCATGCCCATAATGCATAATTCTAATAGCCAACTAAGATTCTCTACATTAAAAAGTTTTACTTCAAAGGAAAATAAAATCTTGAATTAAAAAAAAAAATCTAAGTGACTATAGGCAGCAGCTGGTTTCAGGCTACATATAAAAACAAATTAATTTGAAGCATAAATTCGTAATATCAGCCCTGTTGTGGAGAGAGAGCCATTGCAGAATTAGGCCTTTAATCCACTCCATCCCCTGGCATTAGCAATTTAACATTATGAGCTGACTCTAAAAAAGAAATCTGCAGAACAGCTTGAAAAGTTAACATCCTTCTGCAACTCTATGAACACTATGTAATCATAGAAACAGAGACAGAAAGGGACTGCAAGTGTCACCTAATCTATCCCCTCATCAAGCTGCAGCATTTGTTACATCCAGGCTATCCAAGACAGAAGGCTATCCAGCCTCCTTTTGAAAACCACCCATGAAGAACCATCCACAACATTCTCTAGGCGGTCTGCTCCCGACTGTAAAAACAGCAGGACAAGGAAAGCTTTTCCCGAGATTTAATCTAAATCTGCTATGCTGTAGCTTGTGCTCTCCGAGGAAAACTTTTCTCCACTTTTTTATGGCAGCCTTTCTGAAGGCTGCTACCTATATTTCTCTCTTCTCACCTTAATTTTTTGTTTTTCCAAACTAAACATCCCCAGTTCCTTCAGACTTTTTTGTATGGCTTGCATTCAAACCCTTTGATTACCTTTGCTCCGACCTCTGAATCCTTTCCAGTTTTTCTCCTTCCTTTCTATATATTGCTGACCAAAAATGGACACACTACTCCAGATGAGGCATAACCAAGCACTGAGTAGAGAAGTACCATCACCTGCTTTCATGCTATGCCTCTATTCATGCAACTTAAAATCGCATTTGCTTTTTTTACAACAGCATCAGTGATAAAATTCTGTAATAGAGCATTCTTTAGTAGAGTACTAAAATAGAGTACTAAAGCATTTTCTCACCCAATTAGAAGGGGAGACATTTGAACTGAACTTCATTTACAAGTTTAACACTATCAATTTAGGCTTGAATAAAGATTTTAACTGGTTAACACATTACAAAGGCACTTTCCATACCTCTAATATTCACATTTCCATATCACATGCAGTGAATGAGATAGATCCGGCCTGACTCAGTTAGCTTAATTAACACTGGTTCTACAATTGACAGGTAACTTCTTTTGTTGTTATATACATGCCCTGGATTCATAATTTCCACTCAAACTCATCTGTTGAAGTGGGTTTTACCCACGAAAGCTCATGACCTAATAAACGTGTTGGTCTCTAAGGCTATGTCTATACTGCACTTCTCTTGAAAAAATGAGGAAGAATGGCTCTTGCACAAGAGAAGGTTTTTGTGCAAAAAGGAGCCGTCTACACAGCTCCTTTTTGTGCAAAAGCCTCTTGCGCAAAAGTGACCACTAATTAATTATGCAAATTAAGCATAGTGATATGCTAATCTGTGCTTCATTTGCATAAGCTTTTGCGCAAGAGAGATGCAGTATAGACGTAGCCCAAGGTGCCACAGGACTGCTCGTTGTTTTAGTTATATTTGGATAAAAGTACAGTATATGAATAAGGAATCCAGTATTTGTCCTAAACTGATGCCATGCACTGTTGAAAAATCTTGCATCTGTTCCGTGTTCTGATTATTTAGAATAAGGTCCATGAAAAAAGGGTCATGCCTTTATATTTTAACAGCATCAACACTTAGTCAAAACCATCATCACTCTTTTTAAAATCTTATGGACTCTAATGATAAGTATTTCATATTCATACTTAAACTGTATTTCTTCAATGTAGTTCAAAGAGTCAGGAATTCAACGCATAACTTGAATATAAGCAAGTAACAGTACAACTGAAATAATAAATACAACATTTAAATTAACTCATGAAATCATATCTGGTGTGTTCCAAAAGCAAAGCTTAAAGGAGCATGACATTTCCATTAATGCATTCTCATGCTGCTCTAATTTACAAATCCTTTCCATTACAGGCAGCTTATTATTTGTGTAAAGGCTACAACAATCTGTCAAGGTACCTGCTAAGTGTAAGTAGGTAACCAATGTTGCATGTCAAATTGCATCAAAAGTCCAACAAAAGCAATCAAGCAATTGGATACTAAAGGCTTCATTTAAAAATGCATGTGGACTGTGTTTACCTAGTGAAACTGGGCAGTTTTGAGCTGAGTTTGGGCGGGGGTGGGGGAGGGGGGAAGGGAGACAAGGCTTTCTTATCCTCATATGGTGTTGAGCTCAAGAGTAGGAGTCCAGACTGCTTACTCTAACCCAGGGGTGGGCAATAATTTTTTGCTGGGGGCCACCTGTTTCAACAGTTAATTACTCTTCTAGCTAAAAATTTACACTTTGTTTCCAATCTAAATTTGTCTAGTTTTAACTTTCAGCTACTGGATCTCGTTACTCCTGACTCTGATGGAGTGAAGAACCCATTATTATATATTTGTTTCCTACATAGATATTTATAGACTGTAAATCAAGGAATTCCTTATCCTTCTCTTTACAAAATTAATAAGACTGAGCTTTTTGAGTCTGTTTCTATCAGGAATATTTTTTAATCTTTTAATCATTTTTGGGTTTGTCTTTGAATTCTCTCAAAATCATTCTCGAATTGTGGATTTGAGAAATGGGCACAATATTCCAGCCACAGTTGCAGCAGTGCCAAACACAAAAGATAAAATCTCTGCTCCTACTCAAGATTCCTGTTTATACATCCCAGGAACATATTAGCATTTTTTGCATTTATTCACACTGGAGTTCATTCTCCACCACAACTCCAAAATCTTTCAGAATTACTGCTCTCCATGATGGAGTCTCCCATTCCAGGGATGGCCTACACTCGTACTTGCACCCCGTTTGCAGACAGTTCAGATCACTCTAAATTAGTGATCTGTCGTCTATATTATTTACTTCTCCCCTAATGTGGACAATGTACTCCCCGACACACTAATTACTATCAGAAATATGGAGCTACGCCACACAAACCATTCAGTCAAAACACAACGTTTGGTAAATGTACGTATAAGTGCTTGAGTAAAGGCTTTACAGATTTTAATAATCGGCATGATTTCCAGGAAGACAATGGAAGTGGTACTAGACCTAGTAGAATTAGTGCATATAAATGAAAGTGGTTGAATGTTACAAGACTGGCAACAAGACTGACATGCCAGATCCTGACCCTGATGTGCTGGCCTGGGAAGCAACTCACAGTCTGACCATGTTTAGGGCCTGGCAGCATCCTCCACTCTCAGTCCACCATGTGAGACTGAGTAGCAGCAGGGTCCCTGGACTCCCCGTGCAGGGTAGGATGGGTAGCCTGCCATAAGAAGGGCAGCTGTACTCAGTCCAGTGGCCTTTAACACAGAGATGAATTGGGCCATAGCTCTGTGCCGAGGAACCTCTGAAAGAGTAAGAAGGAGAAGGCCTGGTCTCACAAGTGTCAGTCCAAGGCAAGGTCCTCTTCAGAATCCTATTCCTCATGTTCACTCAGGAATTGTGGAGGACCTGGCAGGATCTAAGGGTAACAATGGGTACTTGGTGAACCTCAAGGGCTCTTGACATTTTTGGAACTGGAAACTCACTGGAGCCAAGAAGCAGAGTCAGAAGTCTCAGATACAGCCAGACC